AACGCAGCTAAACTGAATCAAACTCAGCTATCTAGCATGCCGCTTATAGGGAATTTCGATCCTCCTGAGAAACCAAATAATAAACTTAACAGATAAATGCTTATTAAATGGATTTTGGAATTCTGCTCAAAAAATATTAAATCATATTACATAAATTAACACAATTACCGATATTTTATCGTCGCAAAGCAAATAAGTGGAAATATCATTACAAACCGAAGAATATGCAGAATAATGTGGAAGTTCTGAAGCATTTAGCCTACACAAGAGACCAATACATTAAATACAAACGATTTACCGAATCTGGCTATGGCATTGTGGACATGAACATTCCGGAAGAGGGCTGACGGACTCTGGAGACTCATAATATATATATGACAGGTCAGGATGAGAATTACAGCCTAAAGAACTACCAGCTCTGCTATTTGAAGAATGTGGAAAGGTAAACGGAGGCAAGCCTTTGATCCGTGCCATCAAATAGTATCTCAATCGACTATTTGGAACACCAAACTGAAAAGGACTCAGTAAAAAATGCTGGCAATAATTGACTTAAAATTTTACCCTATATTCATAGCCGCACTTAACAAGGAGATTAATTAAACAACACCAAGCATCAGTTCCTTCAAACCCATGAACATTCTCAATGAATAAACAAGAAGGTTTCACACTAAATCAAATAACCATAATCATAGATTACCTCGAAATGACATCAAGAAGATGAAAGAATGAGGAACTCCTATTATCTTCTCCACCTTTTTTATTGCCTAATCTAGTATATGGTTGACAAGGTGGACTCATAGTCCACAAATCACAAAAAAGCTTATCACATTCTTGAGCACTCAAGTTCTAAAATGATTGGAAATAAATAAAATACTTGAATTTCTCTATTCACCACTCGAGTGTGTGAGAAATTGTGCTTGTACACTTTGGTAGCAGTATCATTAATGTCTATCGCCAGAATTACTTCATATGAAATTTTTGATCCTTAAATAGTATATTTTTAGTCGATCTTACTTCGCAAAGCGTAATGGATGCCACCAATTCCAGAATAAAGCTCAAATACCTTCATATATAGGCGCGCAGACGCAAGGAAAGGAAATAGCGCGCCAACACGAATAAAGGAAATAGCGCGCTAAATGAGAACAGAAGAAACAATATATGTTAATACAATATTATTGACGAAATAAAGACAAAATAGAATAAATTAGACATACAAATAAAAACATTTAATTTTTTTAATTAATCATTGTTGGTTGTTTTTCAACTTTTTTGAATAGAAAATATTGATTTGCCCATCGTAATGGAAAATCTCTGTTTGATTGATAGAGAATCAAATTATTCATCTAAGTTGGGAAAAAACTGATTTGCGAAGAAAAGTTGGGTTTCGAGGAATCTCTTGTTTCATAATAGTTGAGCCTACTTCCATTTCGAATGAAAGTGTTTGGTAAAGAGATTCGAAGGTCGATTCCACCAGAAGGCGACAGCGGATTCTCTTGACCAGCTGTCAATTGGCTTTACTCGAACATTCATGGTAATCTCCTTCGATTCGTGACTCGTTTGTTTGAATTTTGTTGTGACGATGTTACCTCGCTCTTATGATGTCCGTCTAATAACGGACGAAATCTTACCATCTTTTGACCTGGATCGAAGGAGATTGCTTCGGAAATAGCGTCAGCATGAATCTTCCAGGAAAGCTAATCGACAGCCGGTCAAGAGGAATCCGCTGTCGCTTTCTGGTGAAACCGACCTTTCAAACTTTTAAATCAATACCTTCACTAGAAATGGAAGTAAGCTTAACAAGAACTGGTTTGTCTTGAATATTATATCTGCTCTGTGAATCATTGACACCTGTGGCCAAGTAGTGAAGTGGAGTTTTATATCACCACGGTACTCTCAACCATATATTGAAGATCGAATAGGGTGCTAATAGGAACTATTCTACGTAAACAAATGCAGTCAATTAGTAGTAAGATGGACTATTTGAAAGTAAAGCTTGGTAAAATTCAGAGCATCCTGAAGCCTGCTTATCTAATTATGGAAAAATTCAACTATTGCTCTAAAAATCACATGATAACGATCCATGTGATATATTAAATTTGTACAATTTGTTCTATAAATTCAATATCCGATAAAATTGTTGAGCCTATTGTTTCTATATCGGCTGTTGTATCAATTATATTTAATGAATTAATCTTATGAGTATCTCAGAATGAATTACACAACATATAAAACAGATTTATAGAAAAAGTCTTTCGAAATCTTCATTCTCACTAACAAAGCGATAACCTTGATGTTAAGAGGATCGAAATGAAGTATTAACATAATTGTTTCACCTTACGATATTAAATATTTACACTACATTCGGTGTTACATTCTACTCATAGTTAACGTGCCCGAATATATTTTACTTTTTTTCGATGTTCTTTGTACTAGAGGAGAGACAAAGTTAATAAAAAATATTTTTAGGAAACTAAAGTAAGTTGATGTTGGAATAACTTTCATTTCGTTTGAAGAGGCGAATTGAAGGGATTCGTAAGTTGGTTCCACCGGAGGCTGTCGGGAGTTGCTTTGGAGCAATGGTTGCATATTTGTGCGAATAGGTCCTCGACACACCGCTCTCCTTGCTAAGCTTTCGTCCGTC